GGGGTTTTATACTACTGAAAAGGTTACTGGGGTTTTGTCACTCATTTCTCAGTCAATTCAACATTTTCTATTTGATTGTGCCATGACTTGCATTTCAGAGCTGCAGCTCACTATGCAACACTGCATCAGCACAAAGGTTGAGAGCCAACTAGCTAAAAAAATCAAATACAAAACGCATCACTTTGGGAAAAATTCGGCCCATGCCGGGCCAAAACAGGAAATCCACTTTAAGAGAAGATGGGGGAGGAAGCTGGAAGTCTATATAAAATCTGCTGTCGTTCCTTCATCTTTCTAGAATATTTGTTAAATGGTAACCAAATAAATCACATGTTTCCACATCAAGCCAAAACAGCAAAGGAAAATGTTTATCAGTCTCACATAATGCTAGAGCAGTGATGTTTAAAAGTAAAGATTCAAGGAAATAAACTCTCCTTGTTTATCATCAATGACAGCAATTAAGTTGTCAAGTGATGGATGAGTGTTTTGATTTCCTCTTCCTGCTGTCATTTTACGTTCAACTTATATTGTATGCCTGCCACTGTTTATTCCTCTACGGTTACACGGCCACTGAGACTGGTTATTAATCAAGAATATTTATGTTTCAAAGCAGTCATGCTGTGAAGGCATGGACACAGCTTACGCCTAACCTTACGTCATCCTCCAAGGCAGACTGTTAATGATGTTAAAAACAACTCTTTTCCCCAGACCAGAAGAGCCTGAGGAAGAGGTAACACATACTCTTAGATATGCAAGCCCTAGCTTAGCTTGTACCTTGCCCAGAGCACTTACATTCACAAAGATCTGCAAAAGAAAACAGGCTAAATATGAAAGAACTGCCTGGAGCTCACCTCACCATTCATTATGGGCAGCTTCAAGCACACTCAGATTCCTGGGGATGCACTGGTCTACGTTACTGTTTTGCCAGTGAACACAGTGCAAGAGCAGCTGCATGAAGTTTCCTGCAAAAAAAAATGGTGATACAGGACACAAACTTACTTGCACTCAAAGTTTTAAAAGCATTCATGCTTTTTGCTAGATCTCTCACCACTTTTGAGCATCACAAAGAAAAATGCCTAATGCTAGACAAAATACAGGCCCTTTTCCAGAGTAAAGACGCAGACAGAGCTGAAAAGAGAAGCCCAATTTTGAAATATTATTTACTCCTGGAGGAGTGCAATGTGTTGTTTTCTCTCTGCATAGAAACAGCTACACAGTTCACAGCAGATCCCAACTCCTTTGAAAGTTTTGCCACTTGTAGCAGAGCTACCAGCAACTTCCTTTGGCTGTAAAATTGATTGGAGCATTAGGAAGGATGCTGTCCTATGGGATTCAGACTCCTAATAACATGCTCAGCTCCCCCCTCCTGTAATCAGCAATTTAGGAGTACCATGGGATAAAAGCTTCTTTGTTGCTGTGTGGACCTATACTCCTCAGCAGCTCTACAATTTCAACACGTGGGCATCACAACACAGTTAAGATAGATACCCATATGCAAGACAGGTTTTGGTTTATCCTCTGAGAGGAATGACCATATCCCACAAGGCAAGAAGTTGTAGGCCCATCGGAGATGAGGGAAATGGGTATTTGCCTATTTTGTCTGCCTTTTTTTCCCCCTCCCCCTCAACTTTAGGCACTGTCCCAGCACCTCTAATTTTGAGAAGCCACAACCCACTTTAGCCATGCTGTGGGAACAAAGAATACTCAATTGCAGCACTTTTGCTAAGATCTAAAAAATACTTCTGCAAGCATCATTGGCATTTTCTAAGAGCAAACTTGTAGGTGGTCTTAAATCATCTGGCGTCATTACACTTGAAGAATTTCGCTCCTTGAAATATGTTCAGCCTGTCCTTCTCGCACAAAGTCCCTTCATTAGTCAGAAAAGCAGAGGAAAGAGAGACAAGGCATGCACAAAAAATTAGACATGAAATATTGTAAGTCTTCCAAAACCTGATGAAAGAACGGGTGTAATAAATACAAGTGAATCAGAGCAAGTTGCAGTACTCTGAACTCACATCAACACATCTTATACATCTCACCCTGCATCAGCCCAACAGAATATATTCACCTTCCGGAAGGATGCAAGTCTTTAGCTAGAGCTAAGAAAAATTAGTATCTAAGAATTCTTGACAACCAAAGACAGAATAGGTTCACCTGTAAGAAAAAAAGGAGACCAATACCTACCTGGCAAGAAGAAAATAAAAATTGTAAGGGAAAAACAAAACAAAACATATGGCTCATATCCAGCATGCATTTCAAAAATACAACTGCAAGGATTAGTCTGTGGCCTCCAATACGAATTTTAAAGTTAGACAAATGAAAGAAAAAATAACAATGAAGAGTTTTTTTTTTCTTTTAGTGGATTTTGTTTTACATCTGTACCATCTGTACATTAATACAGTACATCTGTATATGGTAGTTCATATATGACTACAGTCATACTATTATAGCTGGTCACTGATAAAAGAAGTCAAGGTGCTGGTTCTGCAATAGCCAGCTGGAGGTTTCTTTTGCACAGGTTTAAAGTTAAAAAGCTTTCAATGGAGACTTCTTTCTTGAAGAATTAAAAAAAAAAAAAATAAAAAGGGGGGGGGGTTAATCTCATTCCCCTTTTCACCTCAAATGAGCTAAATTCCTTCAACAGTTCTTCAAACTCAACCTTTTCCTTCATACAGAACTGAGTTTTTTGTACTTCCCTGGACATTGAAGCTAAGTAGTAATATTAACAGATCACCTGAAATCTTCCTTTGTACCAAAAGGGGGAAAGTTATTTTCTTACCACAAAAAGAAGGACTTGAACTAGGTTGTCAATTTTCCCCTTGAGCTGAAATAGCATTTGAAACAACATTAACTTGCACTTAACTTTTAAAATCTATGGTTCCCTGTAAGCTCATACCTGATTGCTAGTGTTTTGCACGTCATCCATTAAAAGCAAACCCAAAAGATAAATTTTAGGAGAGATTCCTGCAATCCCAGAACTTTCAGCTGAGAAACCAAGCAGGAGAAAGTCCATCTCTGCATAGTAATCTCCTACTTGATAAAGATCCTGGACTCTCATTGCAGTCAACAAAAAAAATAACAACAAAACAATTAAAAGAAGGAAGCATTACACTCTGAACAGTTATGAAACCACACACAGAGGTGCTAGCAGGCTTTGGCTCTTGCCCCAAGCAAGTATCTCCATAACTTACCAGCCTTCTCCCAACAGCAGCAGCGCAAGTGCACGCTCTCCCACTCCACCTGCCCCCTGCTCCTGTAGGGGTGACCCCCAGCGCTTGCCCTCTCGTCCTCGGGATATCATTTCTCTATGGGCAAGGAGCAGTGGCAGCTGCAGGGAAAGACAGAGGCAGCACAACCCATGCAGGCAGGAAGGAGTCTCTTCATGGGAAACACACTCTATGAAATTACCCCATAAACCAGAGGAGGGCAGCAGGGAGGCATTTGGGCATACCTGATTTGCACATGGTCAATAGCAAGGAAGCTTGAAATGTTATCACTGTTTGAAATCTATTGTGTATTCAGGCAAATGGGCACCAAAAGTCCTCTTTGGGAGATGGCAGTTATCCTGAACAGGTGACAACCTGCGCAGATTACCAATATCATGGCCAAAATACAGACACTGTGCTGCGGCACAGCATTCTGCTACACTCACTTAAATCACACTTCTAACTTGTCTGAAACTATCTAAAAGCATGCCCTGCAATGTAGATATTTATCAGTTCACATTTCCATACCAAGTTCTCTAATGATCTCTTCTAATATACTAAAACCATATATATATATATATATAGCAACTTTATACCTACACACACATATATATATATATATATTTAAGATGGCTTGTTTTTTCAAAGCTATTCCAAAAAAATTCAGAACATCTTCAGTGACTGAGAGACACCATGATAAGCACAAGGACATCACTTTAGAGGTAGATAACAGTAGTAAGCTCTTTGGAAACCTCTTCCTTGTTTTAGGTACTTGATGTCTTGCCATGAGGCCGCAAGGATGAGTAGACAACATCGTATTAAGACTGGCTTAGGATATTCCAATTCCTTGCTTGAACTACTGCAGATGGCACTCTGGCAGCCATGCAGGCACTTGATTCTGTTTGTAAGTGGATTTACAGTGTTCAAAAGATTACACTTTTGAATAGCAAATAACATAGCATGAAAATAAAAGGAAGGTAGAGATTCCAACTCTTAATAAAAGGTAGAATAGAAGAAAAAGAGTTATTAGCATAAGGAAGAATACTTCCCATCTGATTTTTTTCCTTGACAAAGCTCTCCTCCAACAGCATAAAAATCCAATACAGAGACAACTGTAGATAGTTTTTCCCCAGAATGCATGTGAGGGATCCTCTGTGAAGTTCAGCACGAGCTGCCAGCAAAGGCAACAAAAAGGGGGCCACCACAGTCTCAGTGCTTCTTTGCTAGAAAAATTTCCAACCTGAACACTCCCTCACACATACACTGTGAGAGCTCTCCGAAGACACAGAGAGTGGTTGGTACGATCCTTCCTCTAGAAAATTTGTTGGGTATCCACTATGTTATACTCAACACAATGTAAATGCAAAAGGAGAAAAAGAGCTCTGGTGGAAGGAAGGAAACAAGCCCATGTTTCTGCAAATCAATGCATTTTCCCGGCTTTATTTGGGGTTATTCTTGCATCTATTTACCTACCCACTCAGATGCCAAAACAGATTTTAAAATCTTTTTGATTGATCAAAGTTAGCCAGAATACTTTCCACAAAAGAGAAGTATAGAGTTTTGTAGCATTCAGAAAGTTAAATAGAACCATCTTCAATACAAAGAAATGTTCAAGATTTCACAACCTATGGCAAAGGACAAAAGATCACTGAAGACGGAGCACTTGATGCACTTTACAATCTGGCCCTCAGACTCACCTGCTGCTTTAAACATAGATTTGAAATTGACACTGGTAAATCTTATAACTTGGCCAAAATGGCAGTATCAAAATATCCAGGTCACTTGACCAGATCACAATTTACAGGTTTACTCTTACACAGCAATGTAAAGTTCATGAAAGTAAGATAAAAACATATGTTTTCAAAGTTGTCAAGAACATTAAGCATATGTGACAGATGGATCTGTGAATTGGAAAACGTCCTCGTCATACAAGTCTTCTGGTAATTCTTCATCTCCATCAGCAAAATATGTGGGGAATGGAGGGTTCTTATTGCAGTCCTTGTAACCAGGCAATTTGGTATCTTTCACCTAAGAAAGTAGAGGAAAAAAAAAGAATTTATTAAATCTGTCTCACAGATAGTCATGCACTAGAGCTCAAAGAAATCACTTTGAATGCATGAGAGACAGTTTTCACACTACTCCCATATATCTGAAGAATTCCATGTCTAATCATCAGTCATTTTAATACCAACTCAACTACAGAATTCAGTATTTTGTACCCAAGTCATTGAAGAGCTTAAAAAAAACAAAACAAAACTAAAGAACCAATCCCCCCTCCCCAACCCAGAATTCATCACTTGTGCCATACTGTGAGAAATCCAAGTTTACTGCTATGAATCCATGGCTCACTATTTCAATCTGCTGCTAAAATAAATGTGTAAATAGTGCTGGGTTTAACTAGGTTTATATCTCATTTATTTTCCTACAGGACATATCAAGTTATATTATGCAGTGTAATCCCTTCAACAACCAAGACATCGTTTTTGCTTTTGTGGAACGAGCTACTTCTGGCCTGATTTTGCAAAGTGCTTAATTTCACGTGCTGTACCGAGCCGCTCTGACTACTGAGGAACTATTCAGTGAGTGCAAAGATAAGTACTAAGAATTCTTCATGGAACGAGCACCCCGGTTTGTAAAACATGTGCCTTTAAGAAAGCTAATTTCTAAGAAAGATAATGCAACGCAGAAATAACTTTCCTATACTGACCTTTCTACATGTCAAAAGATTTAAAAACTTGTCCTTGAAACTTCAATCTCTGAAGAAAATTAGTAGCTGGAATTATCAGCAAAAAGCAGATTGTCTGAGGTAGAAGATAGACAGCTGGTATCTCTGAGGAACGGAAAGCTACAAATTCTCAAATGATGAAATTTTATTTAAAACCAAATTTTTCATTTCCGAATTGTTACATATGATCTTTCTGTGGGAGCTGTAATAACTCCTTTCAGTCACCACTATATTCAACTGGATTTAAAAAAGTACAAATAGGTTAGGGAGGAAGAGTTTACTGCTCTCTCTCTCTTTTTTTTTTTTTTTTCCTTTGCTGCTTAAGTAAAGGAATCTTATTACTTTTTTTCGGAAAGAAACCCACCAAAGGCAACCATAATTTACAACAAAATTAAATAAAACAATTTTATGTCTGCTGACAGCTCTGTTCTAACAGCACTGTATTTACCAGATTCACATCTGTATTACTCAAGTCTCTACCAACATCTAAGAGAATTCTTGCAGATGTAGCACACAATATTAGACTTAAACTTCAGCTTATGAAGAAACTTCTATGTTCGATTCTTCCAAATGCAAGTTAAGTTCCAGTCCTGAAGCACGAACTTAATGCATCAATACCAGTTTGAAAGACCATGTCTCTTTTCCTTCTAAGTTTCAAGACTGCATTATTATTCCTACAAAAAAGAATGAATTTCACTTTACCTCTGAAAGTTTTGATTAGCAACTCAAAAAGCTGTGCCACTTACCTGTCTGCAAGCAATTACTGAATGACTTTCTCTACCTCTATGAAGGACATTGCATACCCAAAGTTTTGCATATCTATTTCCTCATACTCGTATGCATATTTCACGATATTATAAATGAGATTAATAGTATGCACTCATCAAAGTGTACATACAAAGTGTATGCAGACAAGAAGTTTGAATGATCTGGTATGAGTTACACTCTCAGTAATCCTTCTAAAAGCATCTTAATAAGGTAAAGAAATCCCACTGAATGCCCTTTACCTTATTTCTCAGAGTAAAAACTGCAAGCCTGGAAAACAATGCTTCAGTGTAAAAAATTAAAAACTGTACTAAATACCATTTCACTTCCTTCCTTCCCAAACATAAGTTATTTACCTTTTCTTTTAATTTATACTGAAAGTGGCTGCTATATGCAACGGCCTTAGTAATTTTCCATAGTACAGCTGCAGACTCTAACAGATGTACGATTATGCGCAAATATTTAACATACAAATCTCTCAGCTGTTTTTGGACCCTGAGACAAAAATAATATCTATAACTCAAAATGATGGCCCTGACATTATTAAACTTTTTAAAAGTACTTTTCTGCAGGGTAGCATTGACCCATTTCAATATATTAGCATTCTCTTCTAAAGAGTTCTCAAAAAATAGGAGTCTCTATGAAGTCAGAACAAGACTTAACACTCAGTGTTACTAAAGCCCAGTGAATTTAGCTTTCACCCACGGAAGGAATTAGGCTGAGGGTCCAACTGGCTGTTACCATCCTGTAAACACTCATTGTTATAACTTTGTATAACACAATTATTTGGTGTGCGTAAGCACTATATTAATATTAGTATACATAATCTGTGAAGTTTTTAAATTGAGATAAATACTAGAGAAAGCAGAAATTAGACTTGGTCATGATTTTGTTACTAAACCTTTAAAACACAGAAATGATTTAGCAGACACTCAGTAAACTGCATGTATTCATCTCCCATATGTTGACAGCTTAATAGTCAGGATAAACAAACACAATTTGAGAAATCTATCATCACAAAGTACTTAATACAGTCTTAAATAAGCATCAAATTTTGATGCTTAAGTCACAGCTCTCACACTTGCACTTTAACGAGGCTTCAGGCTATTCTAGCATCCACAGCAGCAGAATACCAACTCTTGACTAACAGAAAAATCTTTAAATAAATTATTTTTAAAAAAAATTCTTAAGTGCCATATTACCTACTTCAGCTTCTAAGCTACCTTAGAGGTCGTATATGAAATTGAATGCAAGAACTACACCCATTTCAGGCAAGTGTTATTTTGCCTTAAAAACAAAACCAAACAAAAACCCACCACCATTTTAACGTCATTAGTCCACACGTCAAGGCTGTACTTTATTAGATCTGAGCATAGATTCTTTTGAAGTGATGAAGTGAGCTTTTTTGATTAATTTTCCATCTAACTAGAAACATTACTTATGTCAGTTATTCGCTTGCACAGTTCAGTGTGCAATATCAAATGAAAACTGACTTCTAATTAAACCGGGAATCCATCCTAGCGCCCTGCAGTTTTTCTGCTGAAAATTAAACTTGAAGAACTCAAGTGCTTCATCTCAGCCCAGACACAGTGCTGATGCACTAAGTTTCTAAAAATACACAAAATACAGAAGACAAACACATACTTTAAGGGGCACTGTGGTTTTAATGGTTACCAAGCAACAAAGAGTGGGCACTGGACACAAATGCTTTGAGAGGCACAGAGTTAAAAAAATATTACCATGATGTTCCACTTACAAGCACAGATAAAGACAGATAGCTCCACATTGCCTAGACATTAGCCCTACCTAATTGCAGGTGGATATTTAGTGGAATGAACAGTAATTATAAAAGCTGCTATCTCACAATTTCTCTCCTCAGCTACAGGTTCAAACAGCTTTGACATCAATGTATAGAGTCAAAGGCTCTATGTAAATAACAAAATATCAGGGAGGAAGAGCAGTAAGACACAAGCTCAAAAACACCACAGAAAAATGCAGCAAACTGAGAAGAATCAGACATGGGAGACAAACATGCACAACATTGCATGATGTCTTTTTAAATAAAGTTTCCTCTGTTCTTCAGAAATGTATTTAAAAATGAAAATTCTTGATTCAATATCCAACTCATATGGCTATAACCCTCTCTTCCAATTACCAAATATGAGTGGAGCTGATTTTTTAAAATAATTTCAAACAGCATTGTGTCTTCATGTGAAAGCATAAGTTTATTTGTTACTAAAAATCCATGAACATTTAAAGGAGCTTTGACAAAGATGAGAGTCTTTCAAGTATTACACCATTTTAATCAAGCCGTTCTAAGGCACGAAATCCCTCTCCGCCTCCTCCTCCTCCCTTAACCCTGTTTTCTAACAATGACAATAGCTACGACTCTGAAATGTGCTTCACATGCCCGAAAGCCTACTTCAAGATATCTGCACTTTTAAACTGCAGATAACTGTGACGTGAAATATTTTCAAACACAGGTAAACTGCAAATACAACTAACAGAAATTCTACATGTTAAAATTAACTTTACTTGAAAAAACAACAAAACTATTTTTACTTCTGTTCTTTGGATAAAATTCCAACTACTGCTCACAGTGAGTGAACTGAATGGAAATCACCAGCAAAGACAGCAGGCACTGGAATGGTGGCAGAGCAGAATGCCATTGCCATCAAAATCAGTTACCCTCTTCACATTTTGATGTCAAAGTTGTTTTACTGGATATGCTCTGATGCTTTGGCCCAGCAGTTTCCTATTAACAAGCTGCTTACAGCAATCCTGCTTCCTCAAGCCTCCTCAGGCCAACAGCAGAACTGCTTCCAGAGCAAACCCAGTAACAGGGGTGCTATGGACTCTAGTGAAAGTACTATCTTTGTGAAAAAAGCAAGAGGGGGAGCTGGCCCAGTGATGAGAGAAGCACAGCACCCGTGCTGTAAATTATTCTGCCAGGAGAGGTGTACAATGTCTGATTCGCAAGCTGAAGACAGCTTGTTTAAATGAGATCTCCACAGCCTAAATACAAATGGGCAATACTAAGACACGTGACTTTGGTTTAAAAGCAAATAAAACTACTTCATATTAGAGGTGATTAATAAATGTCTGCGTTCTTAATCCACTTAAAAGCAGAACCCCCAAAATGAATGCTAAGTCTAGCTGTTAAATGAGCTGCACCTCAGCTGCTCTGTAAAAAAGTCAACTGATACTGAGTATGGCCATGAAATTGGGAATGCTTTCTATTACTTTTAAAGCAGTGCTAGCTGTGTATTTCTGCTCATGAATACAGCCCTTATGTAATATTCCAGAAATCTCACCAACAAGCTAGTGACTCAGATTACTGCTAAAAGAGGATGCCCTAGACCCAGGACACCTACCACGAATTTAGAGCAACTGTACTGGCTTATCACAGGCTAGATAGGTACAGAACTGTAGTGCAAAGCTAAGAATGAGCTGTTTGGTGTGGGTGGTGATCCACTGTCCCCAGTAATCATTCATAATCTGAAGGTTGCATTCAACCAATGTTTCTCCTACTGTAAGGAGAGAGCTGTAGAGATTAACAGTCACTAAATAAGCAATGAGTTAAAGCAAGCAAACGTACCTTCACCAGACAATTTTTGTGACCTGGAACAGACCCGTTTACATAAATAATGTCATGTTTTGTGTTGATTCTCCACACCTAGGAGACAGAAAAAAAATACTGGGACTATCTTTAGACAATATTCTCAGCTTTATATGAGCTGGGAATACAAGCTATAATACAAGCTATATACAAGCTACAGTGAAGCACAAACTGATTGATTAAGGGCAGGTAGAACTCTAGGGAAAAAGAATGTTCTGCGTAGACCTAAACTTGCCACAAAACTCAAGTCACTTGCCATGCTAAGTGGATAGTGGTCTAATGCAGGAAAGCTATTAGTTAGCTTAAATGACTTATGATCAGGCTACATATGATAGCTCTTCACCCAGTATAATACCAATTTAAGCTCCCAAGTCTCTCTCTCTCTAACAGCAAGAGCTGTTGTAAAAATCACATGTGACAAATTAAGACAAATATACTCAAGAAAATGCTACTGCAAACATTTTTTTAACTTCTTAATTCTATGAGGTGCTCAACTGAACATGCACATTTTCTAGTTACAAAACATTAGTTTTGATTAGCAGAGAGCAGCAGCACACACTCGCGGGGTGTAGGTTAATATGCTTTGTGTGCAAACAGCAGATTGTGCCTGCAAAGACAGAGAGTGGTAGCAGAAACAGCCCAGGCAGTGCTGCAGGTGTGCACACATCAGAATCGAGGCAGAAACCATAACCCCCTTTTTGCACAGGAACCTGCAAGGCCATTGTAAAGCAGCGACATCAAAGAACACAGAGTTTGGCTGGATTTGAACAGGCTGTTCAGAACAGGCACTAAGACCTAACTGAAGGGTCTCAATAAACCTGAGTACTTTCCTACTTCAAAGGCAGAGATCAAGGCACACAGTGACAAGCACATTATATGTGGCAGCGTCACCTGAAGTGCTACCCTGTGCCAAAGTACTGCACATATGCATAAGGCAGTTCAGGTGTCTTATTTTCCCCTTTGTAAGCCACAAAAAGGCAGGAGTGCATATTTGCCACTTAGGTCTTTTCAGCTTTCTTACTTAAAGATGCAGCTATGATCCCGAATTCTGAAGCTGACAGGGAATGGTGGATGGTACACCACCACCACCACCACCACCACCACATCCACTGCTTGTCTAGGCAGCCCCCTTTTATATTCTAGTAAACTCACCTTTAATCCAAAGGATGTTCTGTAAACGTTACCCATTTTACCAGGCATTTTCTTTCCACGGTAAACTTTGGAAGCTTTCTAGGTACAAAGAGAGCTCAAAGATTACAAAACTGCAAGACGCACATTTACAAAGCCAAGGGGAGAAGCAAAGAAAATATATTGGTATTTTCAACACTGAAAATATTTAATTAGCATTTTAAATACCTCCAAGTTAAGTATTAAACTATGCATTACCTGAAATAATGCTATAAAAATACTATATCAACAAATAGATATTAGCTTTGCTTGACTAAAATATTTGCAGATTCAGAGAAAAATTTTCACTCGTCATATTTTTACTTGGCAGAGGAATAAAGAGTATAGTTTTCTAAAATCCCTGTCAGCACAAGACTCGTGCCTTTAACATGGAAAGCAGTGACTTGCTAAAACTACATGTGGAGTCCATCACAGAGCTCCAGTGCAGCCCTGACTCAGAAGGCAGCCAAAATTAAGATAACTTGAGCTTCTCCTCTTCCTCCTCTTAAGTTTTATAACAACTTTGCTACAGATGCACACATTTTTGTTAAACATTTATTTTTCAGAATAGAATATAAAATGAAACTCTCTCCACTGCTCCAGTTTCTCTACCTCATTTTCATTTGGAAAACTTGGAGAACAAAGGTAGGGAAAAAAAGGCAGGAATAAGCGTAATAAAATTCACTTTGACAGCACTATCTAGTTACCTTGCCAAGCCAGTATCAGAATTGCCACAATTTAAAGCAGCTGGTAATCTTTTCCAATCCATAAATGCCATAATAAAGGAATTTTTAATTTGGTTTCAGATCACTATTTCACCTATACTGCCAAGTACCAAAATCTGCTCAGCTACATGTTTTACTTGCTACCAATACAGGATATTCATAAATTAAGATATAAGAGAGTAGCTGTCTGCACCATTTCTGCACTGTTCATTGATTTCTGAACTTCCTCTCAGGAAACTGGTATTCTCTGCTAGCACAGAGTGGACAACACACTGGAAAGCCTGCTTGTCTGTGCTAAAAGGGACAGCTATTTTGAAATAATTAGTTTCAGTGAACATATCGGGGCGAAGTTTATAAACCAGGTTTAAAAAAAAAAAAAGGCAAGGAAAAAAGAAAGAAGAGTCCTCACATTGGTAGATATTGCTCCAGGACGCCTGTGAGTTTTAGTTTGGCCATGAGTAGCAGGCTGGCCTTTAAATCCCCATCTTTTCATAACACCTTGAAATCCTTTACCAATTCTGAAAAGAAAATTAAAAAAAAAAACAAATGGGTTAATCATACTTGAATATCCTAGCAACGAACAGTAACTTCAGCCAGACTCCTGATTTCTTGATGTGTAGCAAAGCTCAGCAGTCAGAAGAAAATATTTTAAAATCTATATTTTATATCACAAACATATTCTAGGGCATTGGTTAATGTTTAGAGAGTAAAAAGCACTGGAAGACAGTAAAATAAGCAAAAAGGCTAACAAAGCTCCTTGCTGTGATGCTCCTCAATACCAGTTACTATATTGAAGCTCTCACCAATGTTAAGATGACATATAAGAAAAACAAAATAAATAAGGAAAAACTGAATAATAACCCATACCAAAACTTAATAAAAGATGAAAAGATCTGTTGAAGATCAAGAGATGAAAATCAAGACTGCAAAGAGAAGCATCCAAATAAGCAAACTAGCATTTGTTTACCAAACTACAACAGATTTATCTCATAACAGCCAACTCTAGAAAACAGCTTTATATGTAGTGAAAATACATAAATCTTCTGATCTGGACTCATCTGACACATAAGGTCTAAAACAAAATTACAAATAAATGCTTCTTCAACATCCACACCTTAATCTTTGAGGCAAATGATAATATTACTGCCTTTGGAGTTCTGTGTTTACCGCAGGGACAGACTCAACAAGAAAATTGCCTTACTGTTACACAAAGAAAAAGCAGATTAAAGTGTGTTTAAACCTGCAGCACTGTCAGTTTCCAAGAGAAAAAGTCTTTCCACAGGGATTATGGCTGCACCGATTATTTGATTAACTTAAACAAGATGATCCTTTTCCTTCAATTTACAGAAATCCTCTCATGGCTATGGCACAGTCCTGTTAGTTTAAACATTAGAACCTTCCAGCCAAGCCCAAGAAAACAGAACTGTGTGTGAGTATGCACTGCACAGGCTCTATAAATGGGCAACTTTCTGCTGACCCAACAACTTATTAAAGTAATACCATTAATAAGCGGAGAAAACT